AGGCAGTCGACGGAGGTAGCGGTTGAAAGCGGTGTTCCAAAAGGCTCCGTTCTTAGCCCTACCTTATTCATTGTATGTATCAACGACTGCGTCAGTGAACTGAATTGTGATGTCGCCATGTTCGCTGATGATGATAAACTTTGAAGCGTCATCCGAACTGAATTGGACGAAGAGCGCTTGCAGGCAGACCTGACCCGACTCGAGAAATGGTCACAGGACTGGCTTTTGCCGTTTAATGTGACTAAGTGCAATGTTTTGCGAGTCGGCAGGACCCGATCTCAAGGCCGGAGAGTTTCCTACCTAAATGGCGTACCACTGCAGGAGGTAGACGCCCAGAAGGACTTGGGTGTGTGGGTAACGGCTTCTCTGACACCGTCGCTCCATTGCTCCAAGGTAGCCAAGGCTGCGATGTCAGTCCTTTATCTTGTCAAGAGAGCTTTCTCTACCTTTGATGAGGACTGATACCTTTAAGTCTTTCGGACTTTCGCTCGGCCACAGCTAGAGTTCGCTATTCAGGCGTGGAAACCCTGGACCTCTAAAGATCTCAGCATCCTTGAGAAAGTCCAGAGGCGGGCTACCAAACTAGTAAGTGGACAGGGTTCACTACCCTATGAAACACGTTTGTCCAATCTCGGACTTTTTCCACTGAGTTACAGACAGCTAAGAGGCGACCTTATACAAACATTCCGTATACTGCGCGGCCACGACTGCTGTCTCGTACCTGCTGATTTCTTTGAATTAGCGACCACAACGAACCTCCGAGGTCATCCACTTAAGCTACGCGTAACTGGCGCCAAGTTGGACATTCGGAAGTTCTTCTTTTCAAACAGAGTGATAGAGGCCTAGACTGCTCTGCCTACAAATGTCGTCATGTCCACCTCCGTCGAGGCTTTTAAGCGCAAGTTGGACCAGTGTACCACTAAACGTCATAATGCCACCTGACCGACAACGTCTAGCATTTCGTTCGAACAGTTTATTAATGTTGTTATGTTACTGCTCGTATTTCAGTAATGTTTGTTTTTTTATTTTCCAATGCCTGTTGAATGTATGTTGGCATCTAATTCGGCTCCCTCAGAAACTGAGATATCACCAACTATCCACAGACAGACTACTGAACAGCACACTTGGTAACGTTAATGTTTTTAACTCTTGGGACAATTCGTTTATCTGTCTGGTTTCGAAAACTTTGCCAATCTGAAGAAACTCTGTTGCTGTTTGATGTTTACATTTTCAAATTTTTCATATAGTTCGCTTCCTTGTAACAAATAAGGAGTTAAAAGGTTCAACACCTATATTTCCTTCAAATAAAGTGAAATGAACTGAACTGAACTATCAGTTAAAAGCATCAGCAAACAATTTCCAGAATTCTAAACAACCGAATAACATAAAAATGATTTACACAAATGTGCAGAGTTTATTTAACAAATTGGATGAAATAAAACTCCCCGTGGCCCATTTCCAACCCGACTTGATAGCTTAAACAGAAACATGGTTAAATGTGCACATAGAAGACGCGGAAGTTATGCTAGATGGTTTCCCGATTCTCAGAATGGACCGGAACGAACGAAGGCGTGGGGGGATTGCGATATTTATACGAGATGACATCGACTATGTCAGGGTTGAGTCTTCCATATTTCGGCACATTGCTTGTGAAATACACAGTTGTTACTTGAAGTTGCCAAACCATCCAAGTCTCCATATGGCACTGACTTACAGACCGCCAAGCCAGCGGACGGATGCGGACGATGCATTCATCATCGAGATAAAAGACATTTGTCGAAGCAAACGCATAATGCTACTTGGTGACTTCAACTGTCCAGCCAGCGAGCGCACGCGACCAGAAAACTCCTTCGAACAGAAATTTATTCAACTGATAACCAATGAGTTCCTTACCCAACATGTTAAAGTGGACACTAGATTCAGAGATGGACAGCAGTCCAGTTGTTTGGATCTCATCATCACTAGGGGTGATAATTACATTATCGGATTGGAATCGCACACGCCCCTTGGACGAAGTCACCGTTACGTTCTTGTTTGGGAGTATGGTCATTTTTCTGTACCCGAAATTCGAGCTGCTGAGGAAAGAAAAGTGTTGAAAACGGATTATCTCCGAATGAAAAATCAGTTACGGAAGATAAACAGGAACGCTGCACAAGCACTTGACCCAGAAAGCGATCGGCTCTTCGTCAGGAAAGTAATGCAGCACTCACTAGAAAGCATTTATCCACTTAAGTGGAAACCACGCACTTGCCGACCAGAGTGCATGACGTTAGAAATAAAGAATAACCTTAAATTGAAAAGGAGACTTTGGAAAAAGTACGCCAGATATCAACAACCAGAGCACACGCTGACTTCAAAAAACAGAAAAATTTACGTCGGAATCTGTTCAAGAGTGAGCGGACACAATTTAAGTCAACGATTTTAAAAAATATTCCGCAAAATTGCAAAAAATTCTTTGGATTTGTAAGTAACGTGAAACACAAACGGGACTAAATTCCCTGTCTAAAAGATCGCCGGGGGAATACGCTATCTGAAAAATCAGATAAGGAGAACCTATTATACGACTTCTTAACGTCTGTGTATACCGCGGAGTCGGCTTTTGCTAAAAGACTTTACCCCCAATTGTCAAATCAAGCAATACAGTTAGCATGGTGGACTTCACAACAGACACGGTAAGAAAAACGTTGAGTCAACTACAGCCCACTAAATCCCCTGGTCCGGACGGCGTGTTCGCAAAACTCCTG